GGTTCTGTAGAAGAAAATGTCTAAAGGTTTTCTATTTTAAGCCCTAGTGACCCTTAAAAGGGGCCAATCAAATTAATATGAGCAAACTTGAGAAAAGACTACCTAAGGATGCTACAGACAAAGTTTGGTGATCATCCATCCATTAGTTCTGTAGTAGAAGATGTTTTAAGGTTTTTCTATTTTTAGCTCTGCTGAACCCTAAAAGGGGCCAATTGAAATGACATGAGCAAATTTAAGTGTGACTATCACAAGGATGCTACAGACCAAATTTTAGTTAAATCTGCCCAGCAGTTTCAGAGAAGAAGATGATTGTTGACGCATGACGACGGACGACGGACGCCGGAGTATCCCCCTTTGTTACTAATAGCTCACCCTGAGCCTTCGGCTCTGGTGAGCTAAAAAAAGAAGACAATTTAAGTTCTTAATTGCAAATATAGAAACTTAGGAATGTAATGTTCAAAGACATTTTACACGTGAAAAGATTCACTCCGAGAGAGACATAGATCCGACATGAGAACACATTAGTCAAAATATGTCGTCCCTTCGTGTTTTCGCATTTTCGCATTTTGAGGCGAAGACGCGAAAATATTTGGATGGCGTTAATCAGCCACCATACATAATCCATTCAAGGCGAATTTCTCAAGCATGTCGAAAGGATGTCCGGAAATGTGTTAATATAAAACGCTGATATTTCGTGTGTTGATAAAAATACTGTTTAGATTCTATATGGTTTTGAAAAAAAAAACTGTTTCTATGTAACTTTTCACGGAAATGGGCTGTACAATGATTGCGTAAAAACAATAAAATGTCGGCTGTAGAAATCGAAAGGCATTTTGTCACGTGACTTTTGCCCATGCTACCGAAAACTACCCATCACAATATCACGGCGTTGAGACGCCGTGAAATAAGTCATCTTTTCCATATTTGTTGAAAGCTACTTTATATAATTTTCTACCGTTTACCTTGAACTAACTTGGAATTGTCTATGAATTCTACTATATTTCTATGTAGGGGAAGCATTTTTTGCCCTACGCAGATTGCGCATGCGCAAGAAAATTCTAATTCCGGTCGATTTTTATTGCAACGGACCGCGTCGTAAAAAGGTAAAAACAGCTACTCTAGTATTTTAAACACATGAACGAAAAATATCACAGTTACAGGCATTACAATTAATTCCAAAGTACTTCGGTTATAGTGATTTTACTGTTAAAGGTCCCTAAGAAATTTTTCTTTGGAAATAAATACTAAGTGTTAGCACTAAAACATAAGAGATGTACACAAGATTGCTCGCAAAATCTTTATCAACAGGATAACTATGTTCACAAAACATGATTTCTTTCACAGTCATGATCAAATGAACAGACTGTCATTTTCTTCCTGTCTCCGAAAGATTATGCACCTTCGTATTTATGCACAGGAAGATTTCAAGTAGTAGACAGAAAGTTCTTAATATTTGAAAAGAAAAGAATATGATAAAGTAAATTTATGAAAGAGAAATCATTAAATTATTTGCCTATAAAAGGGGGTTTATTTTACTCGTTTACATTATTTTAAAAAGCAAAAGTCTCAATAAGCAAAGGTATACTGATATTAAGACGTAAAACCTAACATATAGAATTCATTTACCTGTGAAACTGGAGTGACAATGTGTTGCTTAAAGTTGCTAGTGTATCTTTTTTTCAGTGCCTTCAGCACTTTGATCTTATCTGTAGACCAACTTTACTGAATCATTTTCACCGAAAAATCCTTCAATTCTAAACAAGTTTCTAATAGAATCATAAACATTGATTGGACCTTTCTGTTGAAAACGTGTCAGAGTTAAATCGTATTCAACAACATGCACAGTGCAGTAACTGGAGTTCAGGTATAATTAAGTTACCCGCACTCCAGAGAATGCCCATTGATTGACTCATTTTTTCTGGGGTTTACTTTTTGTGACGACAGAGAAAGGAATAACGATAGAAAAGCCACATTCAGAAGCTGGTTCATTGGTTACCTTTTCCTGTGATTTCATAGTGTTACAACAGGGAATGTGTATTTAATTTTGCTTATGATACAAAAGAAAAAGAACATCAAGACACTCGGCAATCTGTTTTATACTTGGGGCCTACGCCCCCTCGTACAAATCAGATAGGCTCGTGTTTCGATGCTCTTTCTATTACATAACATACATTACGACAGAAGTAAACTTGAATTTGATGTAATGTTCAGAAATGTGTGTGTGTGTGGAACGTGTATGTACGATCCTATCAAAATAGCCTACGAAATGTCACTCATTACATACTCAGATGCCCGTTTGTGCCAGAAACAATTTTGCAAAGGGGGCACATGAGATCTTACTCCAGATAGTTTTACTTTTGGTTGAATATAGGTATAGATAAACTTACAGTATTTTAAAAATGTCAAAGACAATAATTGTAAATAATATCTTTCCATTTTGTCTAGAAAATGTCCGCTTCGCCGGCGTTAAATTTTTCAAGACATCATGCTACCTTGAATAGCTTTTATACATTTTTCTTCGTTATACTCAAGTTATAACAACATGAATGGTTAGAGTGTTGAGAAAAATAAATTGACATTTTGCCCCGTTTACTCCGTTGTCTCAAAAATCTCCCTTGCGTACGATGAATTGTCTGTACATGTCTGGAAAACCCAACTTTCATTTTTGCATCAAAAGCTAATGTGAAAAATGCCTTTTCTAGCGTAATTGTTGTTAAAGGGTTGGTTAAAATGTAAGTTATTGTTATTTTAGTTAAAATAGTGTGATTTGTATGGAAATTTGTTTACATTTTTTTTGGACACCAAATTACCTGTCAAACCTCAATGGAGCTCCTTTAACCTTTTATAGCCAAATATTAATTGCTCTTCATTTAAAATCGAATTTTGCGCGACGCACTCTCAAAATCTTCTTTTATTTTTTTAATAATCCTGTTTACATCAAACTGTAAGCATAATTATACATTGCAAAACAGGTCCCAGGGTTCTCGTTTATGCTGTGTTCTCGACGCCGATCAGATCAACTCGATTAAGCACGATAAAGCGATCGGGTACCAGTCTAGCTCGATCTGCATGCGTGATCGGGGTTGGTCGGAGCGGTCTACCTTGGTCGGCATGGCCCGGGCTTCCTACCCGAATTTTTTTTGACATGTCAAAAAGATTCGAGTAGCGATCGAGTAGATAAGACGTCGAGAATCGATCGTATAGTGATCGAGTAGAAGATCTAGTTGATCGAAAATAAATCGGGTTTACATCTCTTACCCGATCTGTACACGATCATCTCGACTTTTACTCGAGCATTATCCGATCTGGTCGGGTGGAAATCTGGCAACGATCGAGCAGAGGTCCAGTAAGTCTAGTTGAGATCGTGTATGACTCGGATATAGGTCTGGGTGATCGAGAAGAAATCGGGATGTTGATCGGGTTGTCGTCGAGAAGAAGTCGTAAACATGGTCGACTTGAGGTCGTGAAGGAGTCGTAAATTTGCATTTGATCCAGCTTGGTCGGGCTTCATCGGGGAATTGATGTGATCGGGACGATCGAGTTGATATGATCGGCGGTGAGAACATAGCTTTAAATAAATAAAATGTATAACTATGAAAAAAATTACTCACATTATAATTTAAATTAAATTTTCATATATTTTATTTTAGAATTATTTCAAAGACAGAAATTGTGTGTGTACCGTATCTTTTGAAATAACAGTGTGCTCCGTACCATTTCAACATAACTTTATGAAAATATACTAAAATATCACTGCATTCACTCGATACATTGGACATAGTAAATACATCAGATTTAACATTGTTTTCTATGAAATAGTGACAAAAAACATGTGACTTGCTAGAAATCGCTTGTTCTGACAAATGAGTGTGTACCGTTCCCCTCGGCCCCGGCTATGAGAAGAATACTGTACTTGAATTTTCTCAAAAACCATTTAGGGGTTTTCAGAATTTTGATTTCCCCGTGGAAAGCTGATATAATTACGGGTACTCTGCGCCTTATCTGATCAAAATCGGTTGAGTAATAAATAAGTTATGAATAAAAAAATACCTGAATCGGGTAAAAAATCGGCGTGCTCCGTACCCGAAAAGTCACGTGGTATGGCTACATTGATAATTAAACTGTTTTTTTAAAGATCTTTTTTATTCATCTTTAACATTGTATTGTAATTCTACAAATGTTGAAAAAAGCTCACTTTTTGACAAATTTCCTTTTTGACTTTATTGTGGTCAAAAAGAAAATGCTAAGAGGATATTTTTTTCGTTTGAGTGAAATATGGAATATGTTTCACGAAACATGATAAAATGCCACATATTTTCACGAGCCGGGACGGGACGTGAAATGGTTATGAACCCCCTTGCCTGCTACGCAACTGCAATTATACAGCGCGCACTAATATAAGTATCGTCTTGTTTTGCACGCGATATTTAGCGCTAGATATTGTGACGTCACGTAAACAACTTTTTAAACGTATATACAGCTTTAATGACTGAATTAAAGATTTATTTCGGAGATTTTATATGTTCGGATTTATTTTCTTAGTTAGACCATTTTCTATCATTCTAGATAGTTTTCAAAACAAAATTCAACAAAAAAGTTGTTTGTATTTATCAGATTTTTCAAACAAAATGGCGAAAGAAGTCCCTTAAATAAATATGAGTTTTGACTCCGCCCACTTTCATATTTATATTTCATATTCATTTTTAAAAAATATGAAATATATTTGACTGATATAGCACCATATTTCATAGGTAAAATTAAATAATATGAAGTATTTGATAGGAATGAAACACAGAAGTAAGAGTTTATCGTGTACATTCTATATTTATGTGTAACAGTCCGATCTTCCTGATAATATGTATCAAGTGATATACATAACAGGTATAGATGACCTGGTCAGGAATCACTCCTATATACCAAAATAACCAATGTTTTTACATCGGCTCTCTTTTACATTTTTATCATAAAAATATAGTTTATGTACGAAAACCAATACCTACATTTTTCAATGAGGAAATCGCTGCATCACATGCTCGAAACTCATCTTTAAAGACACCCAGTGTATCGAACAGCAGCTCAAATAGTGAATGACATTCTATGTAACTGACGGAGTTATTTCCAGAATGCATCACAACGTTTCTCCTTTTTGTCATCTGCAATAAAATTATGGCAGGTATTTTACAAAACTGACATTTTCTGATTCAACATTAATCATTAGTGTTTTTATGTAAATTTTATAATTGACAAAACACAAATTTCAAAATAAACTGAAATTGGTACTTTTTTGATAATCTTAAAATCATTTAATATCATTCATATTCATATAGAAAGACGGGTTTAAAATTATTTTACTGATAACATGTTTAATTCATACTTCTCTTTCGTGAAATTCCTCAAATTTCTTGAACTGCGAAAATTGACAGTTACTTAGAAGCTGAAGTAAAAGTACTAGCTCGATCTTGTCAATTGAATGACTATCGGCTTCGCCTTCTACACTTTCATTATATGTATACAGTTTCATAATATCCCAGAAATAGTTGTCACATATGACATCTACATCTTTGTCCTCCTCTTCTTCCTTCTTGTCAGCCTCCTTTTTTTCAGGCTCCTCTTTTTCAGGCTCCTCTTTTTCAGGCTCCTCTTTTTCAGACTCCTCTTTTTCAGGCTCCTCTTTTTCAGGCTTAGATTCAGGTACCGGTGGCACTGGTATGTCCCATTTAGGCCTTATTTTGTCTTTTTTAGAATGGAAATCTATTAAATGATTTAGTATTTTCCAACATAACTCATGATCACATTTCCATTTCATCTTTTTTTCATTTCTATGATTCGAAGTCCATTGTAAGTGGAATACTTTTTGATCCTTTAAACATTTGGAAAATGTTTCAAAATGATATATTTCTTTTTTAGGCATTTTGAGCAAATGTTGTTTTGCACCTATCTCAATAGGCTTCCTGAGGGATTTTCTTGTAATATTGAAACCCATTACGCACTTTATCCAATTTTCAAATGCATTCGAATCGGTAACACCAGGTAGTGGTATGCTTATATCCTGAAATTTTAATATATCTTATCATAAAATTTAAAGAAAAAAGTGTTAATTTACTTAAGTGCACAACATCTGCATTTATCATTCAATTTGTTATCATTGTAATTCGTTTGAGTAAAGGCATATCCTTTGCTTTTGATTTCTTTCTTTTAAAAAATACCAATATTACCCGAATTTCTTATCTTTGTTTCAGACAAACATAGATTGCTAACACATGTATCAAAAGAAGTTCTTCAGCTTTGGATAGGTGGTTGAAGAACTTAAGTACATGTATAAAACTTACAATATTTAAAGGCATTAATTAATATTTATCCTAAAAACCTTTTTGACATTTTCCAAGTAATTAGTTTTTTAATTCAATTTTTATGATATGTTCAACCGATTTTATGCTAAAAAATGGGTCTCAAAAAATGGGGATTCAATTACGTTAAAATAGTATGTGCATAACGATTTTGTTGTTGGCATCATGTTTTTTTACAATATTTAAACAAAGACCAATTCTGCAATGCCATGATAATATAACAAATTCTAGCACATAGTCTGATACCCACGACCGAACAATTAACATTTATCAGGCCGATATCCAGCCGATAAGAGAGGTGAAGACAGGCCTCGTGATTTTATGAGGCGATTAAAACCAATCAAAACGTTCATTCTATGCGACGTTTGGTGAAACGTTTTTTTCTGGAAAAAAATCTATTGTACTCTCTACTTGTGGAATAATTTAGTTTGGGAATAGTTTTGCTTTTATATTGGCAAGACACGTGCCGATAGGCTATTTTGTTTCTGAAAGTTGTTTACTTCTGCTGTCGCAGAACATAAATTTTGCTAAACACGATAAAATGCAAAATATAGTATTTTTTTTTTATTCAAAAATGACAAAGTTATTTTTCAATTAACATTTTAATATTTTATATGATTTGAAAGGTCTGTAACCTCATATTTTATACAGCAAAAAATAAAATATCAATTTTTTTTCAAATTAACTTGGTTAAGAGTAAAACTTGGTGCTAATAATACTATTGAAAATAAAGTACATATTGTATGGTTAGTATTCGGGCAACTCTAAAAGAAACACTCTTTTGCCTTTCATCTTATATGTATTGTCACTGTCAGGGATATAAAACAGTGTTTCTTCTTGACAGGGTTTGTGGCTTTCTCACAGAAACAATACGTCTAGTATGATCAGTTCAATGTTTTTATTAAAACTACAAATTTGAAATAGAGACTAACCAATTTAACCATTGCAAACATAAGCAAAAATTCAAAAGAAAAATAAATAAATAAATAAGAAACAATAAAAGTAATCAAAATTGCAATTTGAAAAAGGAGTAAAATTTTCCATTATAAGAATTTTAAAAGAGAAGTTTTTTTAATTTAATTTATTTTCATTTTTAATAGTGACCATTTTATTTTTTCCAAAGCCTGAAATGCATTTATCTTCAGCATACAAATATAACACATTCTTCTTTTGAAATAATGACTTATAACATTTTCAAGACAACAAGTATGGTTCTGTCATGAAAAAGGTTTTAAGGTAGAAAATCCCTAATGGTCACTATAATGAAATGTAAAATTGACAACATATGACAGTTATATGCCTAAAAGGTCACCTGTATGCACAATTTACACAAAATTTACCGCTTGGTTTAAAGTTATGGACTTTTTTCTGAACTAAATCTTTGCAATTAAAAGGGCTCTCTTTCAGAAATGAGGAAACTCTTAATAATCTATAATATCCTCATTATGAAAAATGTTTCCCAATTGCTCATTGTTAAGAAACAAATAATATTATTTAAGTAATTAATTACACGAGAACAATGATTGTTTCAAAACGAAATGTTTAAATATGTATAAAATGTTACCGTACCCCACCCACTTCAAACTCTTAACCCATATTTCATAAAAGGCTCATGATGTAATGGGTTAAGTACGGTGGCACAAATGTGACATGTGTGCGTCTTTTTGTATTTTCTGATCGCAAGATCAGTAAATACATAGCTAACATCCACGGTCTAACACAAAATTTCCTAACAGACCTAACAACGCAAAGTAGTTCTCACTCAGAACTGCTTAAAAACCAGCAATTTAAAAGAAAGAATAATTTTTAATGTAGGCATTTAACGAATTACAGTGCATTAAAAGTTAAGAGTAGTCAATAGAAATATGAGGTTACAATCACAAATTTGGCGGATGAATATCTTTTTTACCCAATGAAAAATGTTCGGCTATTTCCGTAAAGCTTAATCAATGAAAATGCTATTTTTAGCTATGTCGATTACCGAATACTCCAGAGCGTAGTACACAAATAAATCTGACTGTCGAGTAGTGGAATATATACATGTCGTACTGTTTTGTCGAGAAGGTTTTCGCTAAATTATTTTTATCAGTGTTAAACAACAGGTTTATCGTGAACAAAATATCTCGAAATTACTAAAAATTACAAACACGAAATAAAACTTCTCTAATTAGAATTACAATGTATTTGTTTTTATTCAAACTACATATGTATAACTTCACCGTGGTGCAGAGGTAGCGCGCTCGTTTAGGGTGTGAGAGGCCTAAGGTTCAAATCCTAGTCGAGGCAACGGTTTTTTTTGAAGTGTCTTTTTTAAGGAAGTAGCCACGATATGCAAGGATAATGTGTGGCTGTCATAAAAAATGAAAAATGATTTTTTGATGCAACTCGTCATGCAAAATTCCATATGTATCAATCTCAAACTGTTATAGACGCAATCGCTGCGTAAGATTAATTATAGTATATAAAAATAAACTTATACAGGAAAATACATACAGATAGTCAGTATGATTTAGATTGCAAAGATCAGAAAATACCACAGAGGTTGCAGCCCTTTGATTTATCTCGTGGCCACGAGATACTATGTCGTGGCCACGAGTTACTAAGTCGTGGCCACGAGATAGCTGGGTCGTGGCCACGAGATACTATGTCGTGACCACGAGATTAACAGGCCGTAGTACGTACAAACTGACCAATTCGATCACAAACTTGCCCAACAAAGAGCTATAGTAAAAATTAATGTCTGATGAGCCTTGGAAGGTGACTTTCTAATATGATCTTAAAGACAAGTTCAAAGTGAATATCTTCAGTATTTTCAAAGATTAATGTTGCATGGAAAAGTTATTTGTCAAGTTTAAAAAAATCATAATATATATAGTGTATTCTGATTGGTTAATTATCTCGTGGCCACGACTAAGCTATCTCGTTCCCACGACTTAGTAACTCGTGGCAACGACATAGTATCTCACGACTTAGTAACTCGTGGCCACTACATAGTATCTCGTGGCCACGAGTTAGCTTTCTCGTGGCCACGACTAAGTAACTCGTGGCCGCGACATATTATCTCGTGGCCACGAGTTATCTATCTCGTGGCCACGAGTTAGCTATCTCGTGGCCACGAATTAGTAACTCGTGGCCACGACTTAGTAAATCAAAACACACACATGTCACCTTTGTGCCACCGTATTTTTATTTTATAACACTTTGAAAATATTTTGGTATCATATTTGCTATTAAATTTGGATTATTTGGCATTATTTGACATTATTTAGCAAATAAATATATATATACTTAAAATAGAAAACTTTTTTCTTTTCCATAAGGAATCTGAGAGATACATAAATAATGTTTAAAGAAAGAATAGAATAAAAAAGTTGTCCCTTCCGGGGTTTGAACCAATGCCCCTCAGTTTCAATGCAGTTAACAGTGATTTTAGCCTATCTGAATACTCTTAAAATTGGAGGTAATGCATTAAGGGTATACTATCTTAAGTTTTTAAACCACGTAACAGGTTTGTGGTACAATTTATCTCATACATGAGCCTCAGAGATGCAATTAAACATTGAAGACAAAGTGAAAAATCTCCTTTTTGCAATTTCCTGTTTTTAGAAATACATTATTTGTTATAAACACTCGATTTAAAACTTGTATATAAATTTCGTTTAAATAGATTTTTCACGAGTAAAACTGTAATTTCATTTCTCTGACAAGCAGTCCCGTGTTTTTCTGTTAAACAGCCATTTTTCAAAGACTGACAGGTTTTCCGTTACATTCTATAATCAAAAAGTATCTACGTTAGCGAAAAATAGTTAACAAATATAAAACAAGAAGCGAAGCAATGCAATGAAACCAGGTTATCAAGTTATTGACCAAAAAACAAAAGTTGACCATTGCCCGCAAACTTTACCATTACATCGAAAACCTGGTTAATAAAACCGCCAACTTTACCATTACATCGAAAACCTGGTTAATAAAACATGTATAGTCATTTAATGGTTAAAACTTCATAATTAAAAAAAAGTGTTGATCATTCTGAGGAATTTAGCTTTGTCAACTTGAACAACTTCTGAAGAGATTCCAGTCCAGTTAATCTCGCCTCCCATATATGGAGCTTCAAATGTCTGAAATATAGTTTTTGTTAGGTTTCAAGCAATTATTCATATTGTACTGAAAACATATAATTTTATGTCTACAACATTATAAAAGACAATGAAATTCATATTTATTAAACAATTGCTCAGGAAAATTCAAGCCATGTTTCTTCTATATGTTTTCTATCAAGCAATGGATAGCATGATATTCAGACTTCAACTTTATAAATGCTGCTGGAAATTATGCAAGAGCAATGTCAATTCTTTCAATTTAATGATAGGTTTGGTACATGCTGCTGTAGAATATCACTTTTAACTGCAAGCATAACCATATTGTATTCGTGTGACAGGAAAATGATCATTATTGCTTATTTTGCAGAGAACTTGCCATAGTTACAACTATGGCGGTTCAGTGTATGTGCTTGCATGCGCCCAGTTATGCTTGTCCGGGACGTAAATCTGTCATAAGTAGGCAGCATTTCAAATAACCTAGCACAAATATTCACAATAATGAGACAGCGATTTTCGCGAAAGAACCATATGGCTAGGTCAAAGGTCAAGATCTTACTACTGTCCGGATAAAGCTTGTCCACGTTTTAACTCTGTCATTAGTA